GGGCGGAAACAGCGAGTGGATGGGGTGGGGCAAGGGCAGGGAAATCTGATGGAGTACCTCAAAGTTCGATGCAAAAACGCATGATCGCACCGGCTCGCCTGGTGCTTTCCAGCCTGGGTTTATCATGTTTACAATTCTTTGCGAAATCTTTTATTTCTTCGTGTCATGCTCACTTTTTTGAGAAAAGTAAAAAAAGGCGGGACTTCTTAATCCACGAAACCAATTTTTATAGAGATATGAACTAAGTGGAAGAATCAAGGGAAGAAAGGGAATAAGAAAAGGCAAAGGAAGAAGGCAGCAGTAGAATGAAACGAGCAACCAAGGCGTCTTGCTTATGCACATTGTGCTTTTTTGGATTTTTGGCTTACGTACCGTTTAAAGTGTTATGATAGAAAAATCATTAAGTGAAAAGGATACCGGTTATTCCGCCGATATGCACCGGTAAACTTCGGAAAAGCGCCACTGACTCGGCACTTGTCTTGGATGGCAAACGCTTACGATGCTGAAATCATCAGTATTTATTCATCTTTAAACTTCGATTGTAAAGTTGTAACCAAATGTTGTTTAAAAAATTTGAGTTAAAATAATACTGTGGTATAATAAATAATAAAACAATAAATGAAGTGATACGGTGAAAAAATTATAAAATGAAAAAAATGTCGCTGGATAAGTGAAATAATGTCCGAAAGATATAAATGCATCCAATATTGGTGCTCCGAGGGGCCGTCGTGGAGGCTTTAGCAAAAAATTTAGAGATCGCACATGGGTTAAAACATGTTGTTTGTGGAAAAAGATCAGTAATTTTAGTGATAAAGCAGCAACACCAGCAATCGTTTATCCTAGAAAGTGCCGCAGTAGGGTAAAATTCCGAGTTTCAGTTAAAGCTAAAAAAACAAAATTCAAGATAAAACTGCTCCAATAAATGATCATTTCAAATGCCTTGCCTTATCAATAGTGATAATGATGATATTAGCCTTTGTTATTGAAAGCGTAAGATTGTGCCAAGCCCCATCACAGAGACTGTCCCCAAAAACATCAACCAAATCTCGATGTTCCTCGCTATATACCAGTTCAAAAGTCATCTGAAATAATCACTGAATAGAAAAAAAAGTCCTTAAAAACTGTAAAAAAAAAATCCCAAAAATTATAAAAAAGTGCCCTCAATTCGCAAAAATTTCTTCATAACTGCTTACTACGCCATCTCTGAGATAGAGAGCGATTCGAGTATTCTCCGGATCTTTGCTCGTCATAAGGCCAAAAATAAGACCATTATCAACAGCAGGCCGAAACTGTACTGATATCTGTATATCTTCACGACGTCCATGGGCTTTCAGTGGTTCTGTCAAAAGAATTGAGTTAAAAATGCATTTAAACCAAAAACGTTCCATCACTTTGACTGTGCTAAAAATTTGTTTGTTTCTGCTTCAGGCGACAAGACCAATCAGAATCCCGCCGAATTCCGAAGGACCGGTCCGATTTTCGCGCCCAGCGAGGTTCTAGCGCGACCATTAACGGTCCACCTGGCCGTAAATAAAGTCAGGAACATCAGCAGACTGACCATCAAGCTATTCATCATTGGCCAAAACAGCTAAAATGTCACCAGATAGTGGAAGAACAGTTCGAATTACGGCTTTTTCAAGAATTCCAGCTAAATGTTACCTATACACTACAACATGTTTATAACACCATAGTTTTACAAAAAAAAAACATAAAGTCAGATTTACCGAATGTCATATAGCCACCCTCATGAACGTACACTGATTTTGAAGCAACTGCGCACGGGATGACATCACGCTGAGATGCAAAAAGATCACGAGGTATATCATCCACTGTGAAATCTCTGGAAAAGATTTATTCATTATTAAAGACAGAAAAATTCGTGATTTCAAAAAAAAATCAAATTATAACGGATAAGCAAATAAAATCTGATTTCGTTAATCAAATCCAATTTCCTGAGCAAGTGCAAGAAACCGGAATTCAGACTCCAAGTCCGAGACATTATTGAAACTGACAGAACCACTGCAAAATTTCAAGTGTGTTTCAAAACAAAGGCATATTTTCGGTAGGGATATAAAACATGCTGGATTTGGGCCTAAAGTCACAGATAAAGTCTGGATTCCTATCAAGTTATCGAAGGCCTTTAGTACAATAAAAATCCTCTTAGTTTTTCAAAAGAAGTCTTATCCTTCTCTGAAGAACAAAAATTTTAAAAAATTCAAAAAAACTTTTGAGAAATAAACCAAGGATTGTACCTGATACAGCCAGAAAATGCAGGCACCGTTAAATTAAATTGCTTTCGATGTCGCGAAATCACGCCACCGACGTACATTCGTTTGCGCATTACTTTTGCAGACGGCGCATCTTTCATGGATTGAGCTGGGTAGGCACCAACCTAAAAACATTACAGGATATTCGCAGCACTTTTTGCAGGAAAAATGAAAAAAAGGATAGGTGAAAAATGAGTGTTTCCTTCAATTTTTCTGCAATTCTATGCATTCTTTGAGATGTGTCCTATTCTGGGCCTCTTAAGAAAACGATGAACCGTAATCAGAGGAAATTATCCTTTCGAAAGAATCCTCCCTTGGCAAGATAGCGAAGAAGTCTAAAAAAAATCCCTAGTTTGCTGAATATTTAAATCCCAGTTTGTCAAAGGAGAGAATTGTGAAAAGGGTGGTGCTTCCACTAGCGAAATCCGGATAACAGATTAATTTACTAAGAAAATCAAGACCGCTCGAAAAATTGATTCTATTTTACTGGAATGCTTCCACACATCGGACGCAAGCATGCCAGTTCCTACATCACTGGGTCTCAAATTCTTAAGTGAAAGTCATCCTCTGTTCAGTGTGTGTGCATCATCGTTATGCGGGCAAATCGAATGGTCATTTACTTTTTCGCGGGTACCATTTGTCTTTACAAAACGGACAGTATGTTTTATTAAAGGCAAAAAGTGGATCGATAGCAAAAAATAGACCGAATTTACTGCAGTAAATGATTTTTAAACTCAAATGTATCAGGAGTACCTTGATAAGAATTTCCCGATCTTGCTTCTGAATACGAACGTTGCGCCATTTGCCATTATTCAATTTTTCTGATTTATATACCAGAATTTTTGGTGCTTTGTGACCTTTGGCCTGAAGTGTTAAAGTAATAATCTCAAAAGCAAAACATTTAAAATTTGCAGTGCTTCATGGAAAATGAACATTGAGTGCCAAAAATGAATCGCTCTTCTCAGCAGAAAAAACGACGCTGAAATTTGAGGAGGAGAAATGAAGCAGGATAAGACAATTGGAGCGACTTAAATATTAGCCACTGCATTCAAATTATATACACAGAGTAAAAGAAAATTTTTTTATGGAGGTCGCAAATTTAGTTAATTTATGTTTACAGCAATTTTTTGAGATTTTATCAGAAAACATTCTAGTAATTACTATCTGAATGTTAAAAATTACTGGAAATAATCAGCAAAAGTTTTATATTTAAAAAAGGCCTCAGATTTGTCTAACTATTCCCAAAAAGGAATATATTAATAAACCGTTTTTGCACACTTAATAACCTCAATTTGCGGACAGAATTCAAACACACTTGAGAAGAAACACAAGTTATGATTAATAGGTACTCTGAAAGCGATTGGAAAAGTTGCCGGTTGCGTAAACAATAAAACTATGGATTAAAGGGTTCAGTAAAACACTGAAGTAACAGAATCCAGGTATAAGACTCCAAAAATAGTAAAAAACAAAAAATACTTCAAGCTGCAGCAATCCGTTGACCAAATTGAGGAAGAAATAACGTGTGTAGCTTTTATAGCTCGCCCAAATCCAGATCATCCCATTGGGTGTTGTCGTTCGAAATGCAAATTCCACTTTAAACCTAGATTTGTCGCAAAATTTTATTGATGTATCACTGTGAGACAGATAACTTCACTGGAGATGACTGACTGTTATTATTATTTATTATTATATATCATTATTTGTTGTATTACTTATAATTATTATCACTTATTGGTATTCGTTATTATTATTTCATTCTGACGTTTTTTTCAACGGTCTTCAGACCTCACTTTATTGTAATATTTTTTCTAAATTCAAGAAATTTTGGCTTTTTGAAGCTTTAAAGGAATTTTTTATTTACCTTATTCAGCTAGTTTTTGATTCTGCATTAGAATAAAATAGATTGCTGGGATTAAGTTTTCTGCAGAAGATATTCCTGAGATACTCCCTTCTGCTTTCTGGGGAATTCATGGGCAGGTGTCAAATTTGAGGCATTTGAGTCAAATTTGAGGCAAAAAAGCTAGCTCTACTCATCATTTAAATGAAAATATTTTAAAAAAAAATTATTACCCGCAAATGGCGACAGTTTTTTTTTCATGTGAATGGGGTTTCAAATCAATTAAAAAGAAAACATTCGTTTGAACTTAGGTAAAATTTAAAAGAGCGTACTGATTGATGTCAGGATAGTTATCTTCGAAATTAATTCGTGAATGACTTGCTTCCGTGATGCCAAACTGTGCAGCACCTTCGCCATCTTTCTCTTCAAGAAGTGCCGCACCACACTGCAAATTTCTGCTGGTTGTCATTTTTCAGAGAAAACTATGGTCCGAGAAGTATCCCAAATTTATCAGTGCATACCTCGTCAAATTTCACCCAGCAAAATGTTTTTTTTTTCAAGAACTACGAACATTTCAAAATCATATATCACAAAAATATCTTCTTTCTTCCTCAGCCCGCTCCTCTATTTGCACTTGTTCAACAACATGCATTTCAGGCCTACACTTTCCAACTTATGCCTTAGTTGTAAAAACATATTGCTGCGAAATATTACTTCATTACGACACTACAGCGACACTCTTTCGAAGCGCTTGTGAATCCCTGATCTTACCGTCAAAGAGTCACCAAATATAAGCACTCCACTAAGCCAGCCTTGCTGATAAACCAATTCCCTTACAAATCAAACCAGTACTGACGAACTAACCAAAACAAGTACAAATCAAACCTTTGTTTTCTGATGGGCCCAATCGTTCCTTATGGATTTACTACAACCCAAGAAAAAGAAACAAAAATGCACACACAAATAAACGTGAGAAATAAATTAAAAATCTGCACAAACGCAATGTGCATTCAATTAAATTTGCACAGCTCTGATATCGCGACACCGGTGTTCCATCACCTGTGCCTTAGAGCCGAAGCCGGAACATCACTTCGACTAAAAACGCCCCGTTTTTGATATTTTCAATTCTTTTATCCTTTATTTCTTTTCGTTCTATTCCTCACTGCTTTTTTTATCAATCTTTTTTTTTTACTTTTCTCCTATATCATATGGCATCCAGCGCATTACTGTACCAGCCGCCCTTCGTTCCTCTAGCAACTTTGCAATAGCTATTCATCACGTTCATTCTTGTTGTGCTTAGAACAAGATAAAACACACAGTTCTTGAACAAATCAAGGAATTTAAAAACAAAAAATAGGACCTGTTTAGGACCGAATGATGCCCTGGTAGTAGCAGCAACGCTGAGATTTTTTTCGGCCACCAGCTCTGCTCTGGGCTTCGGTCCACTAGTGGTTATTGTTGTTATTGTCGTAGTATCTATTTCATGAACTTCTGGTTTAGGTTTGATCGTAGCTTCGTCAGTATCCGGAACTTTGTGCTTTCGTTTCATAGGTTCTGCACCTAGGAAATGTCAAATTCTGCAAAAGGCTTCTTAATAATAATAAGGCAAATGTTTCCGCATGCACCGAAATGTTTTTCGTTGTGTTTTCGCAAGCAAACCATGGCAGCTGTTAACGTGTGAATCACAAATTACTAAAATACGGACATCCAGGACTGGTTCTTGATAGTTAGATATAAAAAAAAATCTCCAAAGCGAGTTTTAAGTGAGCATGCACTACGCAAGAAAAGACTAAGCACTCTTCCATCGGATCTGACATGACTTAGCACGCGCCATCATCTGGATCGCCCATAGATTCGGGCTCTATTCGTTAATTTATTGCAGAAAAAATGCACAAATTATGTAAAATGAATTGATCTGCTGGCTTTTTTTTAGTTTTCGAGTCTTACAGAACCACGTGAGATTGATACCAAATGAAAATACCCCATAGCAAGGCAGAAATGGAAGCGGAGAAATTAGTTTCCTTTTGCTAAAGGTCAGACACAGTATTGCTCTGAATAACTAGAAAAAAATTGACCGGGATAAAAGTGCCAAAAAAACTAATTTTTGGAACCATCTTTTCCATTGAAAAATTTGTAAAGAACGAAGTTAGATGAAAGAAATGCAGAAAATTTTGGTGCAAATCAATTGCAACGATGCAAAATGATTTCAAATATGTCCAGAACATAATATGGGCGTTTTTCGATATTAACTTTGCCTACTACAAAAATACATGGGGGCATTTACGAATCGAATTAACATTAATACAGCAATAAAGATGTTTGAGCACATATTGAAATATTATGGAAATTTTAGGGATATAAACAGTGAATATCCGGATCAGGAGATTAGAAATGGATGGAGGACTTAAAATCTCTTTTTATTAACATATGCAGTTGGTTTAGCGTTGCTAGCCCGCCATGGAGAGAAATATATAGTTGAATTTTGGTAATTTAATCAAAACACAATAGGTACACAGCTTCACAGTTGAACAGCCAGCTGTAGCTGCGTGGAAGCATTCCAGTAACACTACTATCATGGGATATTCATATCAACTGTCCAAGCGAATATGGTGCTACTTCGTAAATTTGATATAGCATCATTTCTGCTATTATAGAGCAAGAATTGTATAGAAATAACTGAACATATCATCATATGTGCTAAGGATGTACTGTTAAGCGTTGTGCAAGCTGTGCGATGGCATGCAGTTACTGTATTTCGGCAGGTTAGGACCAAGCAAATTCTGTACTTCATTCTCTCTTATCTTTTCTTCAACGCATACTGTTAATTTAAAACAGCAAAAAAGCAAGGATTTAGGATTGTTCTAAAATTTGAGATCTTGGGGGGGGGAGGGGGGCCGTGCGATCATGCGTTTTTGCAGTGTTTCGTGCTGTAATAAGATTACTCGAAATTCCGCTAGCTA